ATATATACAAAATTAAAGGCTTATTTTTCACAGGCGGTACAAGTACTGGTGGTCTGGATAAGTACCGCTTTATCATATCAAAGGCAGACTGGTGGAGTTCTTCCCACTTAAAATCCGCCTCAGACTTGAGTTTCAACAGAGGAGAAAAGACTCTGGTTTTCCCAGCCAAGTTAGAAATGAAACGTCTTAAGAAATTAACTTGGCCAAGAAATCTTTGCAACTCCTTCTTGTTCTGTGGTGGTTTCGCCTCAATCACAGCCCTGCCTTTGTTCTTTTCAACCTCCAGACCACGCTCATGCACCAAGTACCCAAGGAAGTTACCCGCAGACACTCCAAAGGCACACTTAAATGGGTTCATTTTCAAGCCATGTTGCCTCATCTGCTCAAAAGACTTCCTTAAATGAACCAGGTGGTCTGCTTCCCCATTTGATTTCACCACAACATCATCAATATAAATTTCCATGAATTTACCAATCATATCATGAAAAATTGCATTCGTGGCTCTTTGATAGGTAGCTCCAGCATTCTTCAGACCAAATGGCATCACAACCCATTCAAAAGTTCCAACAGCACCTGGGCATCGAAAGGCTATCGTAGGAACGTCTGCGTCTGCAATAAAAATTTGGTTGTACCCACTATGACCATCCATGAAAGATAGAATTTTGTGACGGGCTACTCCATCAACTAACAAGTCTGCAATTGGCATAGGATGCTCATCCTTTGGTGTAGCTAAATTCAAGTTTCGGAAATCAGCACAGACTCTTAATTTTCCATTCTTTTTCAGCACAGGCACTACATTTGATAGCCAATCTGCATACCTGCATGTCCGAATGAATCCAACTTTTATCAGCCGCTCAATTTCTTCTTTCACCTTCAAAGTGACCTCTGCAGACATGCGTCTAGGCGGCTGTTTATACGGTCTGAATCCTTCTACAATTGGCAATTTATGTTCCACCAATTTTCGATCCAGACCTGGCATTTCTGAGTAATCCCAAGCAAAACAGTCTTTAAATTCATACAAAAGTCTGACAATTTGATCTCGTGTCTGCGGCTCAAGAGAGCCGCTGATAAATGTTACCTTTGGTTCACTTTTAGACCCTAGATTGATCTCTTCCAATGGGTCTTGAACTTCAGCTTTTAAATCATCCAACTTGGCTGGGGCCAGATCTAGCTCCTCCAAAGTTATTTCATCACCTTGGTCTGCCTCCTCACCTTCATGAACAATTTCAGACCTGTCTACTTGAACTGCTTTTTCAGCAAAATAGGCCGCTAATTTCTTTGTTATCTCCAACACGGCCTTTTCTCTTTCCTGTCTCAGACGAGCTTGCTTCATTAGATTTCTTCAATTTTTGGTTTCCCCTTCGGCCTATAAGGAATTATTGTTGTTGGCCGAAGAAGTTCATCATAGACTTCCTCCACAACATGCTTAGACAAAGACAGTCTGCTGCATGCTGTTATCCCAATCGGTTTCCCATGTCTATCCATCCCAAAAAACTGAATGGTACCAATGTCTTCTTCATAATATCTAGCCTCCACCAGGTGAGTGTTGGCTGAAAAAGGCTTATCATCTGCAGACACGACCTCAGCCTTGCCACCATTCCAGAAAATCAGTTTCTGGTGAAGTGAAGAAGGGACACACCAACTTGAATGAATCTAGTCACGCCCCAAAAGTGCATTATAAGTAGCAACA